TGCAGTTCCCGGCCAGGCACCCAACTCACCCCAGTGGACCTTTGGCTCAAGCTGGCTGAGGTCGTGGCTTTTCTCCGTCTCCCAACCGCACCCAGTTTGGACTCCGGTGGGGACCTGTGATCCAACAAGGGCTACCAACCAACCAACTCAACCCAATTTCTTCCCGCCCCCCTCCTTCCCCAGCACAAGGAACTCTATCCGCCGATCTCGCCATTCGGGCGGCGTGAAAACGATTATTTATAATCAAAGTACTCTTATTAACCTTGTCCAACTGTACAATTTTCATTATCCCTGTAAACGTACTAACCTGATTAAGAGTTGCCGAATACATACGTTTGCCAAATCGACTTGCAATGGGAATATTTGTAGAAGTTAGAGCCAAGTTATTACTTATGTAGGCAGTAGCAGGTTACCTTTAAATACAAGCGTGCAATGTGTTCATCTCTCAGATGTCGAAAACCAGCCTTACCCAACGTTACATTATTTCGAGTTCCTTTTATAAACCGTCTTTGAAGATGGGTTCGAGCATAAGTCCGAAAACTCAAATGAGTATAGCTATCGTCCCAGCGATTGCTTTTACTTCTCCTATACTTTTCCCCAGGACCCACATTTTCGCTTAAAAGAAACACCTTTTTATTCAACGAGGTAAATTAGAGGTCTGTAAAAAGATGAGGAGCAAATTAAACTTTCGGCCCTCAGGCTACTGACCGGATATATCAAATAAACAGCCAGAAATTCGAGCAAGGAGCGAATGTTCCTCCTGATTTCCATTCCCTCCGAATAGTGCCAGCAATGAAAAATTATTTAGATAAAAGTCTAAAGCATCAGCTTTCTTACCGTTCTTTTGAGCCTCACGTAGATCTTTCCTGTTGGCCTCCAGAATCTCAGCCTGCGACTGAAGTAACAAATCGGCGAGTCTCTCAATAGCTGCCGCGCGCTGTTCCCCCGTAGCTTGTCTTAAGCCACGCCCAGCTTGCCGCGCTGCAATGTATTAAGAGACAATCAAATTGCGTGCACAAGCTTTTCGTTCAACCAATAAGCATGCACTGTTTCACATTACACGATCAATAGTATGTCGATCATTTATGTCGACTCAATTTATTGGCAAAGTTGTTATACTACATTGCATTACACTGAAGTAGAGAATTTAATCGTCAATTGTGTAGTGCTTATATAGAGGAATGGGATCGGGGTAGACTGTGAGATCAACGAAATAAACACTGTACAGAACCGGTTGTATCATTCCCCATGTCAGTGTATCCGCCTGACGATGAATTGCCGATAACGTGTTTGCCGATCTTATTCTGTAATCCAAATATTACTAGTTTCCTTTATTCCATGTAGGACTAGGTTCACGTTAGCCTTAAACGTCTTTTTAGATTCCCTTACCGAGGGTCATCGCAACTACAATCTGCTCCTAGTAATAAACTTAACTCGAGCGTAATGATTACAGAAGGTGGCATGTAACATTGTTTATTTTGAGAAAGATATTCCTTTTGGCCTTTGCTGTCATGCATCGAGCTTATTTTCGCTCCCGTTAATTTTGCGATTCCAGTAGACGTGCTGTAATTCCGTTTTTTTTCATGCAAAACTATACTTAAAATCACCTATTGCTACGCATTGTTTTCCAGCTACAGACGCCTGTGACCATTTATCTACCTTATATTTTGTGCATGGAAAGATCTATTGTCCTCATTCATAGTGGTAAAGTAGTCGCTAGCTCCAGCTAAGAAATGTGAGTAATGTCCTTATACTGCGTGCAAATTCTCAACCATAATGACTATTCTATGGTTTATACAAGTGTTGTGGTCTTCACCGTATGACATCCACATTTTTTTTACCTGTGTCCACAAACAAGTCGAGCAATAATGTAAATTGCTATGGAGTAAGAGGTGATCCAAGAGTGCCACTATGCAATACTTTACTAACCAGCCAAAAGCTGGAACATTAAAATTAGCCACTGCTAGCTGAAGTTTTGATTATCTTCTTATTCTACTCAGAAGATGGCCACTGAATCAGAAAAAATCGTTTCATTATAGATCATGCTACTCACTGGAAGAGAGTAATGGCACTTACCACTGAGAGCCAAGTGTTTTGCGTTGCCAACACCCGCACCAAAGTTGCTCTTGCTGCTATCAGCGGAGGTGGCGGGTCGGAAGAAGGTGCCAATTTCCTTGCCGTGTACTGCGTCGAGTAGAGACTTTGGTTTAGTACAGTCGCAGATAATGACTGAGGTTCCCTTAAAACGAGAAAATGCTTTTCTTATGCTAATTGGACCACTAGTGATTTGGAATCGTCTAGAAGTAAGAAAAGGCATGAATACACAAGCAGAGAAAACGAGAAGAAGTGAACTGATTGCTATGATATGTTGTGAAGTGAGGTTAGGCCCCATCAAACTTTGGTTGAAAACACTATAAATGTTTTCAAGTGCACACTAATAGTTTCGATAGGTCTGGGCGCTGATAAGCACTGAAAGTGCTTTTAAATTTACTTAGACTCTGGAGACAGCGCAAATTGACAAAGAAGATTCACATTGAACTGTTCCAATCATAAAAGGAGGTATTGCTTGAGAGGTCGCTTTCCAGCTTTAACCACGTTTAGGGGAATCTAATTGATAGGATACTGGGAAGTTAAACGTATGTTTGTTTGAAATGGATCCAATTAAGAAAAAGGAGACCGGAACAGCTACTTCTGGCTTGCTAGCCGTCATCAGCCAGTCACACCCAGGGTTGGAACCCCAGAGATTGGAACTCGGAACCTTTGGTCATTGAGTTTACGACTCTACCATTGCACCACGGGTTCGTTGCTTTGTCGGGTGAGATCGGGCATATGATGAATAGGTGGCCATCGTCGATCTGGTAGAGGAACAGTCAAGTTCCGCTTCGCCCTGGAGCCTAGAATCAGAGCCCGCGCAGGCCGTCAGATAACGATTATGAGGATAGGACGGAATGGAATGGATCAGAAAAAGCAATGGGAGACCAGAATGGCAATTTCTGACTTGTTATCTGTCAACACCCGGTCATATCCTATCTCAACGGTTAGAACCCCTTTGTTTCTTAGTGTCATTTCATGCATCAAATATCTCTAACACAGAAAGTCGCGAAATACTCTTTCTTTAG